GTCCATAGTATGTGAGACGAAGTCTTGCCATCCTTACTTCTAAGGAGCATTGTGGCTGTACTTCTTCCAAGACAGATGTGTTCGTTCTTCTGGCAGTCCATGGTATATTCAATATTCTTCACCAACACCATAATTCCAAGGAATCAATTCTTCTTCTGTCTTCCTTATTCATTGTCCAGCTTTCACACGCATATGAGGCGACTGAAAACACCATGGCTTGGGTCAGGTGCACTTTATTCTTAAAGTGACATCTTTGCTTTTTAACACTTTCAAGAGCTCTTTTGCAGCAGATTTGCTCGACGCAATGCATCATTTGATTTCCTGACTGCTGCTTCCATGGATGTTGATTGTGGAGCCAAGTAAAACGAAGTCCTTGACAAATTCAATATTTTCTCCATTTATCATGGTGTTATTTATTGGTCCAGTTGTGAGGCTTTTTGTTTTCTTTATGTTGAGGTGTAATCCATACTGAAGGCTGTAGTCTTTGATCTTCATCAATAAGTGCTTCAAGTCCTCTTCACTTTCAGCAAGCAAGGTTGTGTCATCTGCATATCACAGGCTGTTAATGAGTCTTCCTCCAATCCTAATGCCCTGTTCTTCTTTATACAGTCTAGTTTCTCGGATTATTTGCTCAGCATACAGATTGAATAAGTATGGAGAAAGGATATAACCCTGACCCACACCTTTCCTGACTTTAAACCATGCATAAACTTACTCCTTATAAAATAATCATGGCCCATGATCCTTCCCGACATTGCTTCTGTGGATCCTAACTTAGTACAATCTCAATTATTACAATACTGTCAATCTTTAATGCAGTAAGAGCCCAGGTGGTGAAGTGGTTAAAGAGCTTGGCTGCTATCCAAAAGGTCAGCAGTTTGAATCCACCAGCCACTCCTTTGAAACCCTATGGGGCAGTTCTACTCTGTCTTATAGGATTGCTTTGAGTTAGAATTGACTCGACGGCAATGGGTTTAAGAAGTATGTTTCACAAGTTAAAGAGGCATTCGAAGAACAGAAATCTGATTCTCCTCCCTCAATTATTATTATCCCAGAAGATTGTTTATTGGATAAGATCTGCTGGAAAGGGCCTTACCTTGTCCTTTTGACTAACCCTTGTGCAGCTAAATTAGAAGGAATTACCCTTGGATTCCTTTATCACAGTTGAAGGAAGTTAAAACACCCACTTGGACTTGCCAGCCAGCAGAAGATTTAAAACTCAGACTGAAGTAGCACCCTGGCGACCAGAAGCAAGCTGCTTCAAAGCCAAGCTGCTGACCCCAAAGTCACAGGGTGAGATCATATGCTAGCTGCTAAAATCTATAAACTCTGGTTCTTAACTGTCGGTATTTTAAGTCTTGACTATTTTTGCTCACTTGTGGTTTATTTCTTAGTAGCTCTAGTAATCATTGTATATCTTCAGACCTAAAAGTTTAAACTTTTATCCCTTATACAGAAATTGAAATAGTTTAATACTTATAACCTTTTTAAAATAGTTTTATTTTACCTACTTGTATCCACCTCTTAGTGAGTTACTAAAAAAAAAAAAAAAGTGTTTTATACTCATTAATTTCCTTTTGCTTTATTATATTGTTTTAATTAACCTTTTTATTATGAAGTTTATAATAATCTTCCTTTCTGTTTGTTATAACCACCACTGAAGCTTAGAGAAAAAATGCTTTTATCAAATTAGCTCAATCACTTGCCAGCGCAAGCAATTTCACATAATGTTGGGTATGTCACTCTGCCTTGCAATCCACATAGGAGCACACAGATCCTCCTGCTGTGCCAGTTTCAGATGATAAGTTCGTGCCTAATTTTAGTATTGATTTTAGAAAACCACTTAAACAAGCCATCTGTATCAAACCTATGGCTACCCCCAGAATTGTCCACCTATTCATCAGCTCCCTGTTTCAATCTTTCCTGTCTACTTGGTCCACACTATGTGAAGTTTTTGCTAATAATGCTTGATATTATCACTTAATAATAGATAACTGTATCATATTTGGAGCCCTGCTGGCACAGTGGTTAAGAACTTGGCTGCTAACCAAAAGGTCAGCAGTTCAAATCCACCAGCTGTTTCTTAGAAACCCTATGGGGCAGTTCTACTCTGTCCTACAGGATCACTATGAGTTGGAATCGACTTGGCAGCAACAGGTATGTTTAATCCAAATTTCCCTGTATGTGCTCACCTCCAGGATCCCCCAAATTTTGGAGAACTGTTGATTTGTGATGACTTATTAACTGCCACTTGGCTTAAAAGAGCCAATGAGTCCATTCCATTTCCTGATATCTAAACTGGAAAAGGCATGTTATGTGCCCCATCTGGATATATGTTTTTATGTGGAGGATCAACTTATGCAACAAAAAAGTCCAATGATTCACCCTATACTTGGCCTTGCCATGTTTAAATGGTTGCGGTACGATAGGCCAATGTACTTCAGGAGTATTAGGAGTTCCCATGAGTATTCATTCATAAATTAACAGCTTACTATGGGATAGTGATTTAAAATTAATATCCCTACAGAAGAGAGACTTCATCATTTCAGGCAATCCCATAGCTAATTACTCAGGGTGGGGATAATCTTTCTTACATGCTATTATACCATGGTTTGGGATGGGCAATTACACATGTCCAATTACAATCTATCTGCCACCATGGCCCAAATTGCTGATAGTGTTGCTAATGGAATGGCTGCACAACAAAAATCATCAGAATACTTAGCTAAGAGTTGTATTAGACAACAGTATTGTCTTAAACTTTCTTTTACCTTAGCAAGGAAGAGTTTCTGCTGTCCCCAATACCTCTTATTGTTCGTGGATAAATAGCCTCTTGGTTGCACACCATTCCTTCCATAACAGTTCCTTCCTTCCTTGATATTTTTCGCTGGTTACCCCAAAGTATTGGGTCTGGGTTACACTCCTTTCTACTAGCCTGTCTCCTTCTTCTAACCATTGTAATTATTATTATAAGATTTGTTAAACAATGCATTGTGTTTCTCATTACCACAGCCAACCCTCAAAACATATGACCATGGAACAAATTATGTATCTAGAAGAAACTAATTTTTCTAAAGAGGATGAAGTTTAGTTCTGAAGTCAAACATTTTTTGGAATACCAGTTATTCCTCTAATGTGGCCCTGTTCTCAACACTCACCCCAATCAGAATTTACCCACCCTGAAGATGAAACTAGGACCACAGCAAGATGAAGTCAGATGGTACCCAGTCAGCTGCTAAAAGGTCAAATGGTGTCTGGCTGCTAAAAGACAGCAACCAAGGTCTTAAAAACTGCCAGAAGAATAACTCAGCTACAGCAAAAGCTCCCACATCTGGAGTTCAGAGAGAAACATGGTGACATCCAGTTCCCTGCAGAAAGGAGCCACCTAAAAATAGCGTCTTAAAGACTCTACCCCTTCCCAATGGGCCACACTGTACTGCTCGGCAAGAGAGACAACGGCTCACCACCATCCTGAGTCCACCCTGTCTCCACCGGCCAGCTCCCTCAGTGCCATTTTTTCCTCTCTTTTTCTTCCTTTTCTTTCTCCCTCCCAACTAGGCCCGTGCACCACCTCTGCCACTTCCCAGTGGGCTAAGCCATACCACTCGGCTGGAGAGACACCAGCTCACGGCCACCCCATGTCCACTCTGCTTCAACCAGACAGCTCCCTCAGTGCCACTTTTTTTTCTATTTCCCTTTCTTCCTTTTCTTTCTCCCCCAACCTAGCCCCCTGTGCTGCCTCCACTCCTTCCTGACAGGCTGTGCCCACGACATGCCACTCAGCTGGATAGGCACCAGCTGGCCATCACCCCAGGTCCACCCCGCCCCCACCAACCAGCTCCTGCTGTGCCATTTTTCTCTTTTTCACTCTCTTCGTCTTTCACCCAGCCACCTACCCCCATATACCGCCTCCACCCTGTCCCACCGAACCATGCCTTGCCACCTCAGCTAGAGAGCCACCAGCCCCCAGCCACCCTGACCCCACCCGCTGGCTCCCACCATGCAAATTTTTGCTTTTGCTTTTGTTTCTTTTCTTTCTCCCCCCCATCTAGCTCTACACATCACATCCCCTTCCTTCCAACTAGCCCTTGAGTCTGCCAGCCCTCACTGCACTGCCAGCTTTTTTTATTTTTTATTTTTCTTTTCTCTCTCTTCCTTTTCCTTCTCCCTCAGACCTAGCTCATACGCCACGTCCCACACTGCCACCAGACTCCCTTACACCACCACGGCTAGAGACCTAGTCTCTCATTTTAGACCTTAAATATACTAGTTCCTCCAGTTGGAAAGTACTTTAAAGTAGCTACAGTTGATTTTAATTTTAACACTGTGATTCTTTATTGAGAAGCTATATACATCATAAAACAGGTATGGAGCTGTCACTTCTCCCTGTGAATTTCATAAAACAGGTCAGAAGCTACCACCTCCCCCTGAGAATTTCATAATACAGGTCCGGAGCTATCATTTCCTCCGGAGAATTTGGCAAAACAGAGCACTATTTCCTAGGTTTTCTCTGAGTCACAAAAAGAACTCTAATGGTGAATGCAGTATGGTTTGGGCAGTGTTTTGCTTGGACCAATGTGTATCTTTTTTTGCAAAAGACTTGGCTTGCGGGTGGCAGGCAGCCTAGTGCTCTAGCCTGTCTTGCAACCACCTTATTTTGTCACGGGAGTCTTCAGTGCTCATGATGGGCACCAGAGACCACCCTAATGGCTTTTACTGGTCAACCTGTGCCCGAATTTTGCAGCTTATAGTGACCCAGAGCTCTTTGGAAATAGAATTACCTCTTTAATGTTTTAAGCACCTGAATCTGGACACTAAACAGCAGTTCACAAAAGAGTTAGTAAATGTCACTCTTAACCAAATGATCAAGCAAAAATCTAAGAAAAGATTCTCCTTAATCAAACAACCAGTTTTCAAATCAAATATGCCAAACAAAACTTAAGAAAACATGAGAAAGAGAACAAAACAATAAGCAAGGCTCGTTTTCCGAGAGCACGCACCCCATCAGGTGGGTCCAGAAGATAGGACCTCTCTTTGCCGGCTTCTGCTCCGCAGTCCAGGTCTCCACGAGGTCGACTGGATTTATGGCTTCAGAATCTCTTCAATGACTACACCATTATCTGTTGTAGGGTGTAAACACCACAAAGTTTAGTAAAACAAAAACAAAGGTTTTATTCAGCATATATTCAAAGAGGCAAAATTAGGAAACGGACAAGCCATGTTTGTCCAAGTTTCTGTTCCCCGTTCTTAAGGATGCATCTTAGCAAGCTGCATTTGGGATCCCTTGAACATTCCCCATTCTCTGGATACACACACTTACACACTCACACAACCTAATCTGGTGCACTAACCTAGCAGGTACCTAGAGCCTTTTATGCCCTCAACAGTCAATTCCTCCCACTTCTTGGCACTCTTCTAAGGCCTTACTTAGCAAACAACCTAGGCAAGTTTCATGCCTCCCACAGAGTCATCTTTTGGGCCCAGGGTGGATTGGCTTTCAGGGCTGCTCCAAGGTCTCCAGGAGAAATCTCCTGGTGGCGCCAGACACTGGGGCTGGTCTGTTGTCCAATTCACCTCAGGAACCAAGTGGATGACTTCTGGCTGGCTCACCAGAAACATTACCAGGTGGAAACTCCAGGTTCTGCTCGGCATAATAGTTGAGACCGATAAACGAGACCGAGTTGGGAAGGCAGAAAGGCACCTTTATTTCGTTTGGCAAGGAAAGGAGTCAGTCGGAGCTGCTGCCGCTGTTTCCCAAGGGCGAGGGGAAAGGCTACTTTTAAGGGGTTTACAAGTAGGGAGTTCATACTAGTTACGTCAGCAACAGTCTTAGGATTTTGCCAGGTAAGCAGAGGAACTGGGAGTCTAATGCAAAATTTCAGAGGAAGAAGCCAAGCAAGCTGCAGGGGAATTTTCTGCATCCTGGGGACCCCTGTATTAAAAGAATTTGTATATAAATTGTTGAATGAGAAACTAACTTGAGCTGTAAACTTTTCACCTAAAGCACAATTGGGAAAGAAAGAAAAAACTCTTTCAAGCATCAATTAGAGGCTAGAATTATAGAAAAGCCTTCTGACGCTCAGATGGCATGTATATCTCACCTCTCTAAGGGGTCTGGGAAACCCCTAAGAGGCAAAGGCCATCAACTTGGATAACACTCCCACCACCGTGGCACACAGACCCGTAACACCACCCCCCTCTTTTGCAGTGGAGTGAATTCTGACTCATAGAGACCTTATGGGACAGAGTAGAACTGCCCAATAGGGTTTCCAAGGAGTGGCTGATGGATTCCAACTGCCAATCTTTTGGCTAGCAGCTGAGCACACAGACAGTACCTCATAAATGCTTACTGAATAAATGATCCAGTCAAATGCAATGACACAATCTGCACATGCAGATACACATACTCAAGGTGAATGTCTCCTTTACCAGAACACCACACTTTGAATATTTCAATGTATTTATTGCAACTCCGCAGTCCGGACTTGAAAGAGCTTGCTCAAACATCTGGCTGCGCCTGTTTTCCCGGAAGCTGAACTCTGCAAGGCTCTACTTTCATGAACCCATGGATGAGTCACACCGCATTCCCTGCAGGTATTATTTTCAACTTTGCATCTCAACAAGCACATAAATGTTTTCGTCACTGTTTTCCCAATTACTCATCATGACTAGCAGATTCCATCCCCTGATCATTCATCAAAACATCATCCCTTGTACAAGTTTCTTTGAAATCTAACTTTCAGAAAGAAGAGCGGCCTTTTGGCACGCTGGAAATAAAAGGCACTTCATTCTGCTGCAAGCTGTCCGTTTCCCGAGACAGGAGGATTCCCCGGGCCGCCGGCCCGTTCCATGTACACGCGCCGGGTTGTGCAAGGGCCCCAGCGGTTCCGAACGCGAACCGCGTCCTCTGCGGTCCCACGAGTAATTAAAATGCAAACACTCCCAGCGTCCCCGGAGACACGACCGTGCGGCGCGCCGACCCCCAAAGCGAACAGGCCCTTTAAACTGAAACTTTGAATGGTGGACAGAACTAGAAGGAAGTTGCACACAGCACGCGGAAGCACAGCAGGATTGTTTCCAAACAGTGGAGCTGGACTCGCTTCGCCCTGCAGGAAGGGCCGCCGAGAAAATGCGCCCGACTCCCCCACACCCCAGAAAGGACAGCGGGGAACCCGCAGGTCATCCGCGACCCCCACACACCTGGCTGAGACCCGGCGGCTCCGGGTACTTGGGCCCGAGACTCTCTCTCTCCGGTTCCGGCCTCCGCGGGCAGCTGGGCAAGCCCCGAGCCAGCGCGGGCAGAACCCTGCGCCACCGACCTCCGGCGGCCGCGCCCGGCACCCCGCACTCCGCACCCTGCAGCTAAGCGCCCCTAGCGGGGACGATAGCAAGAACGCGCGGGGTTTTCTTCCCAGCATCAGCTCAAGGGCCCGGAAATTTTCCAGGTTTTTTTTTCCAGGAGGGATTTGGCCAAAGAGGATAGCTCCAAAGTTTGAGTTTGGGAGACGTGGGTGGATGGTGATGCTGCCAATTAACTGAGGCATGAGGGTAATTCCCAGGGACGGGGAAAGGAGCAAATTTCAGGAGAGTTTGGAGTTGTGGAAACTGGAAGGTAAGATTACGAGATGAGTTTAAAACTTCCTGAAGTCTAAAGTTCGTGTTAGTGTTCACAGGTAGTTGGAAATATGTATCTGCCAGTCAAGAGAGGTGGGGGTTGGAAATACAGATATGAGATTTCATTGAGTAGGGACTAAAGCAGTGAGAAAGAATCAGATCCCTTAGGCCCTGAATAAAATGAGAAAAGAAAAGGAATATCTTGGCAAAGATCAACATAAACAGGTGATGTGGAAACGGCAGAAGGTGAATCTGACTCCACGATTTATTACTGAGGTGATCGTGGACAAGGTACTTTAGGTAGGCCCTAATTTCATCATTAGGACCTAGTTTATAGGACTGTATAAGAATCATTTTAGGTGATGTCAACAAAAATGGTGCAGTAAGGATCTCCCCCTCCCCAGAAACACCAAAAAAGCTGGTTAAAACTGTCAGAATCAATCTTATTGAAACTCTTAGAAGATAGTCAAAGGTTTATAGCAACCAAGCCAAAGCTTAACCAGAAGAAAAACACTGAAACAGGTAGGAGATATCTGTGGCGATTTAACCTACCCTAGCTCCATCCCCCTCCCTACAGCAGCCGCTGTGGTAAAGACAGCAGCCTGTGTGCACAACCGGTTTTGGAGGGAGCAGAGCAGACCTTGTCGCCAGGAGTTCTGCTTGTCTGTTTTAACTTATCTGTGGGTTCCCAGAAGTGAGGCAGAGCCCCCACAGCGCTATATTCTTTACCTGGCTTCCAGGTAAAGAAAAATCGTTCCTTTGCTGGCCACCGCACCTCCTCCGCCCCCTCCCCGCGCCCTCCCGGCCCTGTCCAGCTTTGCATTTGAATCCAGCTTTTGCTTGGAGGTTAGATGTAACCTCCATTACGCCTGTGTAGTATGATTAAGAATGTTGCTGACAAAACTTGTATGAACTCCCTACTTGTAAACCCCTTTAAAAGTAACTTACTTGCCCACCTTGGCGGCAGCTCCAAAGGACTCTGTCTGCTTGTACAGCGCAATAAAAGTGCCTTTCCTGTTTTCCCACCTCGGTCTCTCCTTTACTGGCCAATAGGAGTCAAGTGGAGTAAGAACCTGGTGGTTCCATCCGGTAACTGAAGGACTGATGGCTAGGGGCTTGCTTTTATTTCACCTAACTCGGAAATCTCTAGGTAGAAAAGTGACTACATAGAGGGCATGACTTGAAAATATTGACAGGCAGATGAAAAGGAACAAGCCACTGCAGCCTAGGGTAAAAAACAATAGTTGGATCAAACACTAGACAGACCTAAAACCTGGCAGGGAAAGCCTGGGAGGAAATGCTGGGAGTAAAATTTTGGGGGAATAAGGACTTTGAAATGCTCCTGCATGTACTGTATTTTTACACAGGTAATGCACACATTCTACTTTTTTTTGCCAACCATGCCATCCCCTGTGAGGTATTTTTGTAAGTGTGCTATGCTAATCAAAGGTGTGGTGAAACCCATGTGAAATTGTTCACTACAGATTAGTAAGTAAACACAATTAAGCTGTGTGTACCTTGCTTACTGTAAGCCCATGCATACCTTGCTTACTGGTTAATTTGCCTGGGTCACATACAAGAGAGCTTCAATAAGATTAACAGCTAATTTCTTACCAGAAACCACAGAGGCCAGAAGGCAGTAGGATGCTATATTTAAAATGCTGGCAAAACAAAAAACTGTCAGCCAAGAATTCTATATCCGTTAAAACTATTCATCAAAAATGAAGGAGAAATTAAGACACTCAGATATAAGCAAAAGCCTAAGGGGTTTTCACTAGTAGAACTGCCCTACAGTAATGCTATAGGGAGTCTTTCAGGCTAAAATGAAAGGACACTGGATAGTAACTAGAAACCATAAGGAGAAATAAAGAACCCTGGTAAAGGTAACTACATAGGTAAATATAAAAGCCAATATTATTGTATTATTGGTTTGTAAATCTTCTTTTTACTTTCTATATGATTTGAAAGACATGCATAAACCAATGGGCAAATAGTGTATAAATATGTAATTTGTAACTATAACAACATAAAAAGAGAGGGACAGTGATGTATAGGAGCTTTTGTATACTATAGAGTTTTTGTGTATTATTGAAGCTAACCAAAAAAAAAAAACAAACCAAACCCATTGCCATCGATTCTGACTCATAGCAACCCTATAGGACTGACTAGAACTGCCCCAGAGGGTTTCCAAGGAGGAGCTGGTGAATTCAAACTGCTGACCTTTTTGGTTAGCAGCCGAGCTCTTAACCACTGTGCCACCAGGGCTCCTATTAAAGCTAAGCTGGTATTAATTTAAATTAGCTTGTCATAAATTTAGGATGTTAACTGCAATCTTCATGGTAATAACTAAGACAATAACTAAAAAAATACATAAAGAATAATGGGAAGGGAATCAAAATAGTACACAACAACCCCCACCCCCCGTAAAAAAAAAAAAAAAAAGATGGGTGTAATGGAAGAATTGAGGAACACCAAAGATATGTAGCAAAAAAAATAGTGAAATGCAAAGTAAATCTGTCCTTCAAGAAAAACCAAACCCACTGCCGTCAAGTCAATTCTGACTCATAGTGACCCCATAGGGTTTCAGAGGTTGTAAATCTCTACAGAAGCAAACTGCCACATCTTTCTCCTGTGTAGCTGCTGGTGGTTTCGAACCGCTGACCTTTCAGTTAGCAGTTGATCACTTTAACCACTGTGCCACAAGGGCTCCTTTGGTCTGTCCTTACCAATGATCAATGATTACTTTAAATGTAAATGGATTAAACTCTCCAAATAAAAGGCAGAGATTGGCAGAATGGAATTTTAAAAAATCCATCTGTGTTCAGCCCTGAAGAGACTCAATTTATAGCAAAAGACACAAATAAGTGGAAAGTAAAAGGATAGAAGGGGGGAATCACATGAAAATAGTAGCCAAAGAGAGCTGGAATGGCTTTACTAATAATAGAAAAAATATATATTTAAGTCAAAAATTGTTACAAGATTAAAAGGACATTATATATTGATAAAAAGGGTTAATCCATCAAGAAGATTTAGCAATTATAAACATATACAAACCTTACAGTATATGAAGCAAAAATGAACAGAAATAAAAGGATAAATAGACAGTTCTACAACAGTTGAAGACCTCAATATCCCATTTTCAGTAATGGATAGAACAACCAGGCAGAAGATCAATAAGGAAATAAGGACTTAAACAATACATAAACCAACTAGACCTAACAGACACAAAGAGAACACTACACCCAACAACAGTAGAATACACATTTTTCTGCAATGCATATGAATCATTCTCCATGATAGACTGTATCTTAGTCCACAAAACAATTCTTAATAAATTTTTAAAAAATGAAGCTATACAAAGTATCTTCTCTGATCACAATGGTATGAAACCAGAAATCAATTACAGAAGTAAAACTGGAAAGTCCACAGATACGTGTCAATTAAACAACACGCTCTTAAACAACCTGTAGGTCAAAGAAGAAATCACTAGGGAAATTAGAAAATACTTTGATATGAATGAAAATAAAAACACAACATACCAAACATGTGGAATGAAACAAAGGCAGTGCTCAGAGGAAAATTTTTTTTAGCTGTGAATACCTATATTAAAAGAGAAAGATCTCAAACCAATAACCTAACTTTATACCTGGAGGATCTAAAAAAGAAGAGCAAATTGACCCAAGCCATCACAAAAGGGAAATAATAAAGATTACAGCAGAAATGAATGAAATAGAAAAAAGAAAGAAAAATCAACAAAGCCAAAAGTTGATTCTTTGAAAGGATCAACAAAATTGACAAATATTTAAGCTAGACTGACAAAAAAAAAAAAGAATAAGAAGAAAAGACACAAATTACTAAAATCAGAAATAAAAGTGGAGCCATGACTACAGACTTTACAGAAATTAAAAGGATTATACAAGAATACTATAAACAATTTTATGCCAACAAGTTAGATAACCTACATGGAAAGAAAAGTTCCTAAAAACACGAAGACTACAACAAATGACTCATAGAGTATTTGAATAGGCCTATAAGTCAAGAGATTGAACCACTAATCAAAAAATTCCCAACAAAGAAAAGCCCAGAATCAGATGGCTTCACTGTTGAATTCTACCAAATATTCAAAGAAAAATTAACACTCAATATTTCTGAAACTTTTCCAAAAAACAGAAGAGAGAATATTTCCTAACTCAATCTGTGAGGCCAGCATTACCCTAATACAAAAGCCAGACAAAGACATCACAAGGAAAGAAAATTACAAAACAATAGCACTTGTGAATATAGATGCAAAAATCCTCAACAAAATACTCACAAACTGAATCCAGTAGCATATGAAAAAGATTATACACCATGACTGATAGGATTTATCCCAGGAATGCAAGGGTGTTTCACCATAGAAAATCACTCAAAGTAACACAACACACTAATAGAATGAAGGAATAAACTCACATGATTATCTCAATTGATGTAGAAAGGGCATTTGACAAAATCCAACACCCTTTAAGGTGAAAAACTCTCAGCAAACTAGAAATAGAAGGAACACAATGAAGGGCATTTATGAAAAACCCATAGCTAACATCATATTCAATGGACCCCTGGTGGCACAGTGGTTAAGAGCTTGGCTGCTAACCAAAAGGTTGGTAGTTCAAATCCACCGGCCACTTCTTGGAAACCCTATGGGGCAGTTCTACTCTGTCCTGTAGAGTCTAACTAAAAGTTAGAATCGATTTGACGG